TGTCTTCTGTCTCTCTTTCTCTCTCTCTATGTATGTCTATGTATCCCTGTCTGTATGTCTGTCTTCCTCTATCTCTCGCTCTCTCTCATTCTCTTTCTTTCTCTCTCTCTCTATCTATCTATCTCTATCTCTTCCTCTCTTTCTGTTGGTCTGTCTCTGTCTGTCAGTCTATCTGTCTCTGTCTGTCCCGTTCTCTCTCTTTCTCTGTCTCTCCCTCTTTCTTTCTCTCCCCCTGTCTCTGTTTGTTTAATCATTTTTCTGTCTGTCTGCCTCTCTCTCTCTCTCTCTCACTCTATCTCTCTCTCTCTCTGGGTGGGTGTCTTTCCGTCTGTCCGGTTGTCTCATCTATCTATCTATTTTATCTATCTATTTATCTCTCTCTCTCTCTTTCTCTCTTCCTCTCTGTATTTCTTTCTCCCTCTCTCTCTCTCTCTCTCTATGTATGTCTATCTATCTCTGTCTGTCTGTCTGTCTTTCTTTCTATCTCTTTCTGTCTGTCTGCCTTCTGTCTATTTCCTTGTCTCTCTCTCTCTCTCTCTCTCTCTCTCTCTCTCTCTCTCTCTCTCTCTCTCTCTCTCTCTCTCTCTCTCTCTCTCTCTCTCTCTCTCTCTCTCTCTCTATCTATCTATCTCTGTCTGTCTGTCTTTCTTTCTTCTGCCTTTGTCCTTGTCTCTCGCTCTCTCTCTCCCTCTCTTTCTTTGTCTCTCTGTCTTTCTGTCTATCTGTTTGTCTGTCTGTCTCTCTCTCTCTCTGTCTACCTATCACTGTCTTTCTCTCTGTCTCTCTTTCTGTCTCTCTCTCTCTCAGTCTGTTTGTCTGTCTGTCTGTCTCTTTCTGTCTGTCTCTCTCTCTACCTCTCTCTCTCTCTCTCTCTCTCTCTCTCTCTCTCTCTCTTTCTCTCTTCCTTTCTGTCTGTCTCTCTCTCTCTCTCTCTCTCTCTCTCTCTCTCTCTCTCTCTCTCTCTCTCTATATATATATATATATATATATATATATATATATACACACACACATGTCTATGTCTAACTATCTCTGTCTGTCTGTCTTTCTTTCTATCTCTTTCTGTCTGTCTGCCTTCTGTCTATTTCCTTCTCTCTCTCTCTCTCTCTCTCTCTCTCTCTCTCTCTCTCTCTTTCTTTATCTCTATGTCTTTTTGTCTATCTGATTGTCTGTCTGTCTGTCTCACTGTCTGTCTCTCTCTGCCTCTCTCTCTCTCTCTCTCTCTCTCTCTCTCTCTCTCTCTCTCTCTCTCTCTCTCTCTCTCTCTCTCTCTCTCTCTCTCTCTCTCTCTCTTTCTATCTACCTATCACTTTCTCTCTGTCTCTCTTTCTGTCTGTCTCTCTGTAAGTCTATTTGTCTGTCTCTTTCTGTCTGTCTCTCTGTCTACCTCTCTCTCTCTCTCTCTCTCTCTCTCTCTCTCTTTCTCTGGAAGGAAGAAGAGAAGAAGGAGGAGGAGGAGGAGGAGGAGGAGAGGATGTTAGGAGCGAAGGAAGAAAGAGAGAGGAAGAGGGGCAGGAAAAGTTGATGAAAATAACATGTAAAACATAAAAGAGAATGATAGAGAGAGAAAAAAAAAAAAAAACAAAACAAAAACAAAAACAAAAAAAAATAAAAAAATAAAAATAAAAGAGAGGGAAAAGAGAAGAGACGTATGAGAAGGAAGAAGAAATAGAGAGAGAGGGAAGGGGAGAAGGAGGGAGAGAAGGCGAAGGGGGGAGGGGGGAAGGGGGAAGGGGGGAAGGGAGAGATACCGGGTGTCATCAACTTCTTGTATGTTAATCAGGGGTGTCAGATGCGCGAGCCCTTAGTCGGCACGAGGCAAGGGGACTGGGTGTGGCATTTTCTCTTCTCTTCGTGTCTTCCTTTTATTCTCCTTCTTTCTTTTTTTTTTCTTTCTTCCCTCTTTCTCTGTCTCTGTGTGTCTGTCTGTCTGTCTTTCTTTCTCTCTCCCTACTCTGTCTATCTGTCTGTCTGTCTGTCTCTCTCTCCCCTCTTCTCTCTCTTTCTCTTTCTCTTACTCTCTCTTTCTCTTTTTCTCTCTCATTCTCTCTAGCTGTCTGTATGGTAACTTTCTCTCACGATCTCTCTGTTTGTGTGTCTGCCTGTCTGTCTGTTGTCTATTCCTTCCCTACCTCTCTCTCTCTCTCTCTCTCTCTCTCTCTCTCTCTCTCTCTCTCTCTCTCTCTCTCTCTCTCTCTCTCTCTCTCTCTCTCTCTCTCTCTCTCTCCCTCCCTCTTCTCTCTCTCTCTCTCTCTCCCTCTTCTCTCTCTCTCTCTCTCTCCCACTGTCTCTTTCTCCCCTTCCTCCCTCCTCTGTAATTCTCCTCCACCCTCTCTCTCTCTCTTCTGCACTATCCTTCTTTCTCAATCTGTATATATACATTTTTTTTATCTCGAGATAATGAAATGTACATAAGTTTTGTTTATTAGGAAATTGTTTACGAGAACATTATGTAGATTCGAGTTTGCTCTCAATGCACCAGCCAGGCATAAATTATCGG